GTATACTTGTAAGTGGTAGTAGCAGTATTGCAAAATTCATGCCACACTTTTGACGGTGAGTTTGCACTCGTTGAGATTCTCTCTCTCTCTCTCTCTCTCTCTCTCTCTCTCTCTCTCTCTCTCTCTCTCTCTCTCTCTCTCACACACACACACACACACACACACACACACACACACACACACACACACACACACACAGACACACACACACACACACACACAAATACACACAAACGCACTAATAAACACACACACGTATAAATATGTATGTATGTATGTAAATACATATACATATATATGTGTTTGTGTGTGTGTGTGTGTGTGTGTATTTACACACACACACACACACACACACACACAACACACACACACACACACACACACATATATATATATATATATATATATATATATATATACATACATATATTTATATTCATTCATATTCGTGCCATCACCGATGCAGTGTTTGACGAACTACTTGGCGCCATGTAGTTGACTGGGTTTTTATACTGGGTTGGTTGATCAATGATCCTTCCCCAGGGAGCAGTTGTTTAGGTGGTCGGTGGTTCTTAACTCACCATCATATCTACGACAGACTCACTCACTACCGTATCTAAGTTTGACTTGGCAAATATACCCAGTATATATATATATATATATATATATATATATATATATATATATATATATATATATATATATATATATATATATTTTTTTTTTTTTTTTTTTTTTTTTTTTTTTTTTTTTTTTTTTTTTTTTTACACACACACACACACACACACACACACACACACACACACACACACACACACTCACACACACACACACACATAAATATATATACACGCCGAAAACAGATAGAAAACAACAATGGAGACAAATGCAAACACAGTATACATCACCGAAGGAACACAATGTCACTTAACGAGCGAAAGTCTCACGGCTATGCGTCGGTGGGAGGATGTTATCATATGTTGTTATGCTGTAGATGTCATAAGTGGAAACACAGGGTACAGTGGAATGTGAAGTGCCTCACTGTATCTTCTGGGTAATTTTTTTTAAGTTAAAGTTAAGTTTAAGTCCTTAGCAACACTGTTTAAGTTTAAATACGGTTAAGATAATCTTCATAGCTGTGGTTTTGTGTGCATGTATGGGTGTGTGTGTGTGTTTATTTGTGTATTGTGTTTTTAGAAAATAAATAAGCGTGATATATGTTTGAGTTTAGTGTTTAGTGTTTGAGTTTTAGTGTTTTAGTGTACACTTGGATAGATAGACAGACATACGCATGGACTAGATAATATCTGTAAATTTTAGACAGGCTTACTATATGAGATGTACTGCTATTGCCGATGATACAAAGAGCACAAGACGAATAGAGACAGATCAAATTACTAACAGTATGTATATAAAAAAATAACCGTATGTAGCCACACATATAATAAATATACGTAAAAAGTCAGATCCGAAAAAAGCCCCCAATCCTAACATCCTAACTTTTAATTAAAGCACCTTGGGATCTAGAGTTTGGTTCGGGATGATGTGCGATGCTCTTTTTTTATTATTTTCATTTACGAGTTTGCTTTGCGATGCCATGAATAATTCTGATAACTATTCTTAGTCAATTATTTCTACCCTGGGATCTATATTTTTGATCAGGAACGGCATGTGATACCGCGTTCTGTTATTGTCTTATTTACGTTTCTGTATTATCCTTTTCATTTGCGATTTTGTCGTTTTCCGTTACTTATTTAGATATTTTTCCTTACTTAATTACACGGTTACTAGATATTTTTGCTGGTATTTTTACTGAGCTTCACTTTTCTAATTGTGCAAATATGTTTCCGTACTGACTGAAGAACCTATCTTTTTTCAGATATATTTACTTATTTACTAATGCAGATTTCCATCCTTTATCTCCTTATCTCAAACACATTTATATATTCTCTATTTTGCATATCCTTACTTTTTATTTATTCACTTTAACTGATACTATTCCATACAGGCTTTTAGGTTTTGATGTATGCAGCACCACAACACAAGGACCAGAGAACAAAGGAGAGACACAAAAACAAAATACACACAAAAAAATATATCTCCCCCAAAAATGCGTAAACAGACGTCAGAAACCTTCAGCATGACACTGCAAACAGATAGGGGCATCCTGAAACTTTTGTCTCCCGGGTGAGCAGGTACGTATGGGCGATTAGGTGACCGTATGGTGGACATGACTTGGCAAAATGAGGGAATAAACATCTTGTACCCCGTCAACCCTATGGGGTTATTGGGGTCTTTCGTCAAAACACTGGTGCATCTGCGAGAAATGTACTTCTCACTCTCCCCAACGGTGCTTCTTCCCCTCTCTGTTTCTCCTTCGGCCATTCCCAAGATGGTCTCTCCTTGTTCTCTCTTCGGCCATTCCTAAAGTGCCTTCTCTGTTCTTCCTTACGCCCTTCCAAAGGTGCTTCTTCGGCTTGTCTCAGACGACATAATGCGT